AGTGCGGGGGCGAGGGGGGTTTACAGACCCCCAGCATCCACAGGGGCCTGTGAGCATCCCAGCACGGGGACCATAGGGTCCTTGGCTGGGTCCTTTCACCCCCTGGAGACACCTCTTCCCTGCTGTGGGCTTCAGAGGGAGCCCAAGCCCCGCGCCAGGACTATGCCCAGACCCCCTGCGCCCATGGGTGCTACAGCCGCCCCGCTGGTTGGGGTGGGGGAGCCCTGTGCTGGCAGCACTTCCCCCCCAGAAATGATGAAAACCTCAACTCACTCCACTCCGCTCCCAAACAATGACCTGTGCTCTGACACTCATAATTCAGGAGGAGACAGGAACACGCCTGGAGCTTCAGCACATTAATTATGAACCACCCCGTTCGCCCGGGCCCTGGTTCTGCCCCTACCTTGCCAGGCAGCACAGGAACAGCTCCGGCAGCCGCAACTATTTCTGCCAGCGTAAAATTAGCTCTATGGAAAGAGCCATCGGTTCCCTGCGTCCTGCCCTGGGGCACCGAGGTGCACTGTGTTCCTGGGGACAGCCCTGTCCCTCCATCAGCCGGCCCCAACCCTGGGGAACGCAACAGGGCAGTGTCTGCAGGCACCGGGACCACAAGGACCCTGAACCACCTGCAGGGCCAGAATTTGGCCCTGGGGACTTGTTGCACTGGGAGGAAAGGGGGAGTCTCATGCCCACCTGCGCGGCCGTGTGCAGGGCCAGTATCCCCGAGTGCCACCTGACACTGTCCCCCAGCTCCCTCCCCACCATCCCCACATCCCCACGCCAAGCACCCTGCCCCAGCGATGCCGAAGGGACACAGAGCCAAAGAGGCAGCACCCCACAGCCACTGGTGAGGACCTCGGCTTTATTCCAGCCCCTCCATCAACCCCTCCTTGGTGGCTCCCACCGCCTGGCTCCAGGGACAGCGCAGGGCGGCTCCAGGCTTGCAGAGATCCACCTCCGCAGAGATCCAGGTTTGCAAAATCTTCACCCAGCCAAGGTCTCAACGTGCTTTTTTATGGTTTTTTTTCCCCATTTACCCACGAACCAGATGCATTGCCTCGCTGTCGCCACTGCAGCGGGGCAATGCTGGTGTGACTGGTGAAAGGCTGAGCTGGACCCTTACGGGGTTGGCGAGAAGGGGCCAAGCAGGGCCAGGAGGAGCAGGGGGGAGAGGAGCTGGTGGTGACCCCCATGCAGGGACCCGCTGCCGGCCGTGGCCGCCCTGGAGGCAAAGACCTTCCGGCTGTGGAGGGGCTGCGGCGGGCGGAAGTTGTTGGTCATTTTTAGGAGCGTGGAGCTGGTGGCCGGGAAGTGGAGGGTGCTGACGAACGCCCACAACTGCGCAAGGGGAGAGGCAGGGGTGGGCAGGCGCTTTGCCAGCTGCCTCGAGCCCCCTTTCGTGCTGTCCTGCTGCCATGGTATGGCCCTGCGCCAGTGGATGTCGTCCCACCACCCCTCACCACTCTCCCAAAACCAGACCCGGAGGGTAAGTACACGGGGCAGGTCCTTGCAGAGATCAGCTCTTGAGTTTTAAATGAGCTAATCATGTTTCACTGCCTGTGCTGAGCACTTAAAGAGCAGCTGGCCCACGACACCCTCAAGGAAATACGTCTACTAAGATGCTTGGGCAGGAGAGGAGAACTCACTCCATCCACCCATCATCCCATCCACCCCTCTTCTGAACTCCAATGGGTTCGCTCCCATTTCACTTTCTGAATACTGGGGCTGGGTGGGAGAGTGCTACAGACAGGATTTCTCCCCGCTGGCAGGTAGCCACAGCTCCGTTACTTAACCCTCATAAAATTAATTAATCGCCAAGTTACCAGGAATGTTATTATAGAGATGACTTTTCCTGTGCTCTTGCTCAGGGGTCAGGAAGGGCAAGGAGAGGGTGCAGCCCGTCGGGCACAGGAGCACGGGGCTGTGCACACCAGTACCTGCTCCCGTCCGATCTCCACTGGCTCCTCGAAGACGGTCCAGACGACGACCTCGCTGCAGTCGGGGGTGGTGAGGGAGCCCTGGTAGCGGTAGTACCCAGAGAGGCGACTGGCACGCGGCAGCAGGGTGCTCAGGCGGAAGGTAGAGGCCAAATCCACAGAGTCCCCTGCGGGGTGAGACGTGAGCACTCAGCCCATCCCGTGACATGGACACTGGGGAGACTGCAGGGCCACCCCCATCAGTTTCCCCACAGCCAAATGGACCCGCGGACCTGCAGGTCCCCCACACTCAACCCTCCAGGGCCCACCCCTGCCCTCCGGCACTGGGGTGTCTCCTCTTTCTGCCCTTGTCCCGGTGAGAAGGTGACTCACCAGCGTGGGAGACATTCCTCAGCCCCGCCACGATGGTGTTGTAGTTGGTGTTAGGGGTTTCAGAGACCTGTGGAGGGGGACGGTGAGCGGCTGGGGCAGAGCTGAGCCGCCGGCCGCACCGTGAGCAGGCCGTGCCCAGAGGGTCCCCTCCCGTGGGCAGCGGGACCCCCCACAGACCCACCTGGAAGAAGAAGCCGAGGACGGCCAGCCCGTTGGGATGCCCCTTGGCCTCTGCCAGCGTCCGGTACTTGACATTGATGTGGACGATGTGCAGCTGGGGGAAGCATGGAGGGGCCAAGGGTGGGCAAACGCCCCTGGCTGACTCCACCAGCAGCGCGCATCCTTTGAAGGGGGTGGGGAAAAGGGGCCAGCGGTCCCAGGGAACCCACCAGCCGCAATACATAAATTTTGA